AGGCTAACTATGCTAGAGATTTGAACTATGGTCATCATGTGGGATCCAGACCTATAACAGTGTACTTTGAGAAAAGGTTTATGAGTGCTTTTTTTGTTTTTTCAGATTATGACTATTTGTTGTTGTCTTTTTAACTTAAAAAAATGTCTGGGAATCCATTTTAGAAAATGCTACCCAAGGGCCAGTGGGTGGCAAAGTGGTTAAAGTGCTGGACTCTCACATGGCAGATCTGCTCAAGTCCTAGAGGTTTAGAAAGTAACGCCGGGTGCATGTGCATCTGTGTCCAAAATCCCAGAATAGAGAAGGGATTGTGGCATGACCGTCCCCCTAGGGGGTGATTTCTTGCCTCCTTTCTCTGTCTCTCCGGTGAGCGCAAGTACCCTATAGCAAAAATTTCTCTCTCTAAAAAAAAAAAAAAAAAGAAAGAAAGAAAAAGAAAATGATGGTCTATATCCTTGCTATTCAATCTGTGATCCAGGATTCATATTATTTGGGAGCTTATTAGACAATCAGGCCCACAAACAGAACTACAGAATCAAAATCTGCATTTTAAAATTTCCTTGGAGCCAGCAGGTGGCATAGTGGTTAGGCACTGAACTCCCACATGGCTGACTGCAGTTCGACTTCTGGACCTGGCGGCTTGCTTTCTCACTTTCTCTCTCTCTCTCTCTCTCTCTCTCTCTCTCTCTCTCTCTCTCTCTCTCTCTCTCTCTCTCTCTCTCTCTCTGGTGAGTGAGCGTGCTCTATAGCAAATTAAAAATAATGATAATTATTATAAATAAAAATTAAATATTTCTTTAAGAAAATCCCCAGGTGATTTCTATGCAATAATCTAGACTGATAAATGATGAAACGAGCTGGGGTGGTGGCGTTTCCTATGGTTATGGATTAATGCTTGTAGGGGAACCTAGAGTGATCCTCAGGCTCATGCTGGGAGGAGGAACTCAGCAGGTGGGGCCAGCAGATGGTCTTTTCACAAAGAGCAGGGTCTGGAGAATAAGGGCAATGGTAACTCTAGCTAGGACGAAGATGTGTATCTGTGGCAGCAAAGTCTCCTTTCGCTTAGTTCATTGTACCCGGTGAGTGAAGCTGCTGAAATTAGGCAGTGAGTTCCTGCAGATTACCTGCTCTGCACGGTCTCAGACCCTGCCATCCAGAGTTCAGGAGGTTTTCAGTGCTCTGTTAAGCTTCTTCTGTGTATTGAATCACAGGTAACTTAATATTAATCAGCTATTTCCTCATTCCAAGTCCTTCTGCTTCATTTTTTCTAGACTTTCCTAAACACGTCTGGTCCACTAACAAAACCTTTCTATATTTTTCAGTGCCGCTATAGATTTTGTTCATGTGCATATGTATGCATATACAAAGGGACTTCAAAAATTTATGGAAAATGAAATTAAAGTATTTTGGTGCAAAACTATTGTGAAACCCATGGATAGTTTTTTCATCGTATGCATTTTCCATGCACTTTTTGAAGATCCCCTCATTCCTAGGTATGTGTATATATAATCATTTGAGTGCTATAATGGTTCAGAGAAAGCTGACACCTTACCTTTTCTTTTTAAAATTTATTTATTTAAATTCATTTACTATACATCATTATAGCATACAAAATGAGATTTTCCATCCAGCATACACTATACATTGACTCAATCAAGCACATATGTGTTATCGTCTACAAATAATTTTCCATTTCTTGTTTCCTGTATATTTTGCTTTTTTTCCCATCCTTGATTCCCTATCTCTCATCCTCTGCCATCTCCCACCCTCCTCCCACACTGTCTCTGGTACCTATGGTTGCTTTCTATGTCTCTTTTTCCCACATTTTATTGATTCACTAAAGATCTTAATTAATCTAAGTACTTCCAATAGCAAGCGCAGCTGATATATTCATATCCATGAACACAAATCTGACTTCAGGCATAAACCTCAGCGAGTAGAATGAACATACTATAAAGTAGCACCTAGATGGGGCCTATATAGCTTACTGCAGTCATCAAATAGGTATTTTTAATGCATTTCTTTTAATTTTAAGAAAAACAGTTTTACCTTTTTGAAGTCCAGCCAGGGGATAGATGGTGGTGCAGTGGTAAAACATGACTCGTTGTGGGGCTGACCCACATGGGTAGGTTCCGGGTTGATGTCCCTGAGTACACCAGGCATGTACTCCCTGAGTACACCAGGCATGCATATGTCTGTGATTTGGGGCTCGCCGAAGATGGAGGTGGATGGCAGCATCAACACCCTGTTGATGGAGGATCGATTCTCTCTCTCTGTCTTTCTCTGATTCTATGTCTCTTTCACTCATGGAAGAAATGAATTAAACAAATACACACGCACAAAGCCAAGTGTTAGTTAATAAAAACAACACATTTTTCTGAAATATTTCAACTCCAGACTTGGTTTTTCAGAAAAAAGATCCCTAAGTTACAGAATTGATATTTAAAATAACTTCTAGGGGCCAACAGTTGGCATAAAGTTTAAGACTCTGGACTCCAACAATGTAATGAACATTCTCCCCACAAAATTGTCGCAGAATCTGCTTTCACTTATTCCTCCTAAAGAAGGCTGCTTAGATGACTCCCAAATGAAGTTATGTGTTAATTTCTAGGCCCAGCATGAGAAAAAAAAAAAAAAAAAAAAAAAAAAAAAAAAAAAAAAAAAACCAACAAAAAAAAAAAAAAAAAAACCTAAAAAAAAAAAAAAAAAAAAAAAAAAAAACCAACAAACAAACAAAAAAAAAAACCTTAAAAAAATAAATAATAAAAATAAAAAGAGCTTCTAAATGGAAAAATGATGTACATTTTGGAAAATGTGGTATCTTTTACCTAAATTCAGTGTCCTCTTCTGTGAAGTAGAGATGTCACCAGCAGGTGACATAATGGTTACGTCACCGTGCTCCCACGTAGTCAACCGTGGTTCGAGTCCCTGGAGGCTTAAAACTCACGCCAGGTGCATGCGAGTGCGTGCCCAAGATACTGAGAGGAGAATGGAGGAGAAGGGATTGTGGCATGGCCATCCTCCCGGGGGGTGATTTCTCACTTTCTGTCACTCTGTCTCACTCTCTCTCCAGGGGGTGCATGCGCTCTATAGAAAAAAATCTCTCTAAAAACAATAACTGAGTCTGGGCATGTGTGTGTGTGTCCAAAATCCCGAGAGGAGAATGGAGGAAAAGGGAGTGCCACATAGCCATCCCCCTGGGCAGGTGTGTGTGTGTGTGTGTGTGTGTGTGTGATATCTTGCTTTTTGTCTCTCTGGCAAGTGCACAAACCCTATAGCAAAAACCTCTCTAAGTGGGAAAATTTTAAAAATGAGGACTTTATGTAGAAAGTAAAATTAATTCAAAAATTAAAAAATTAAGAAAGAAAAGGGAAAGAAAAAAAAAAGGAGGAATGACTATAGATGAATAGAAGACTTTATAAAAGGGACAGTTGTCACCACCCTTGCTTGGAAGGATTACAAGGACAGGCAGAAATTTCTGTGACCTTCACCATTCTCTGGACCCAGGGCCAACATGTGCCAATAGTGACACCAAAGTGTCTTCCCGTGGTTCTGTCTATCAAAGAAGATATTTCAAAATAATTTAGAGCAAGATCCAGTCTAGACCAATTCTCTTCGTAACAGACTCTTCCAGCTCAAGAGCTGATTCCTCCGTATCTCATCCTCCACCCAAGTTATTTACTGCGTAACTGTTGATACCTTGCAATTAGTGGCTTAATATAAGTTATTATTTGTTATGGTTCTGTGGTTTTCCTGGGCTCTTTGGGGCAGTCCCATCTTCCAGGTCAGTTGTTTAGTAATAGAACTGGTATTTGCTCTCTGTGTGTTCTGTAGCTTTACTTCTCATGTGTTCTGAACGTCATAGGCAATGACAGGAACACCTACAAAAGTCTGCTTGTTAAACCAACTCTACTGAAGAGCCATGAGTGACTTACAGGAAATTTCAACACAAGGGATAAACCTTAAATTATTTCCTAATTATAACTGTTTCTATTTTATAGATTAAGGAAAAAAAAAAGAAAAAAAAGAACTTTGGACCAGCAGATGGTGTAGTGGTTACATTGATAGACTGCCACACAGCTGACTGTGGTTTGAGTCCCCGACCCGGGGGCTCATACTGGGCAAGTGAGCATGTGTGCCCAAGATCCTGAGGGGAGAATTGAAGAGAAGGGATTGTGACGTGGCCATTCTCTCTGGGGGGGTAGGGGGGAAGGAGGAAGGGTGATTTCTCACTTTCCCTCTCCCTCCCTCTGTCTGTCTGTCTGTCTCTCTCTCTCTGTCTGGCGAGAACATGTGTCCTAAGGCAAAATCCTCTAAAAATAAAATTAAAATGATAGTTAAGCCCTTCTCTGGACACAACTAATTTCCCTGTCCTAGAGTCCACTGTCTTCAGAAAAAAGAAATACAGTTTGTTCACTATCTCACAGTAGAAGTCACATCTTATTCTTCAGAAAACTCCTTTACAGAGGGATTAAAGTTCTATTTCCAATCCCTTTCCAAGGGAAATCATAAGACAATAACTTGCCATTAAATATTTCCTGAATCTTAACGTAGAACTAGAGGAAAGCTCTTTGTCAGATTGGCCCAATCAGACTTAGGCAGTCTGTCTTGTGTTCTCTCCTTTGGGAAGCTTCTACAGGTGCGGAATGAGTATGTACCTCTTCTTTTTCCTGCAGGCTCGTAGTGAGTCTCTTTCTTGACTCACACACATCCAGTCTTTGAAAATAAACAATCAGAGATGGGTAGGGCCTAAATCTGTATGAAGGATTGAGAACCATTTTTCTTTCCTGGGTGGAGTATGTACTTCACTGCACAGAGCCAGATCCATTCCTCTATGGTTGTTCTCTTGCCCAGGAACTTATTAGTGTAAAATATGTAAATTTTAAAAATTAGACTCATTGTAGTGTCTCTCTCACTCTAGAGGGCATAACCCTGATGGCCACCCTTTAGCTGCACAGAGTCCAAACAGAGGTCTGATTGTCTATTTTTCTTTACTTTAGGAAAAATCAAGTTTTTGGACACTAGACTTTCCAGCAGAAGATGAGCAGCTCAAGGAATTATTTTCCCTCTGTCTAAAGCACAGCCCGGAGAGGCTGAGTTCAAGAGGTGTGTTTTTCTTTCTGCATATATAACCTCTATGTAGTTTATGAAAGTCATTCTTTGTGGCCATTTTTCCCCCAGGAGAAGAAACTAATCTGAGAAAAATGTGTCACATACCTTGATAGTAATCAAATGTACCTTTAGAGTTTGTCTCCTGCCCACCCCAGTGCCCTATTGCTTTTATTAGGTCAGACTCACTGGCTCCGGTCTCTGAAACAGTACCTTTAATGCCAAGTGTTGTGCTTACATTTTCAAAGCATTTTGAGATTTATTCTTTGAGAGTAGATTCCCTGCAGTTGAGCGTTAGCATGAAAGAAAGCCAAACATCGTCTCCAACTTCTAGGAGAGCTCCTAGCATACACATCTTTTACTGAGAATGTTAAAATGATCTGACTGTAAAAGAAATTAATTTTAAAACTACTCCCAAAATTTAAAAGTAGTTTAAAAACTTAACCAAATCTCCTCGGGATAATGACATGATGAAAATATGCACTGGTAACTACTTGGATGTATATATATATTTTTAAATGATTTAGTGAGTTGCAGGTCTTTTCTCCAAGAACCAGCTGTAATAAGAGTGACACTTTCTGGCACATGTGAAGTACTGCATGCTTGAGAAAGCTCTCACTGGGATTGGCCTTTGATCAAGAAGTGATCTAAATCAAACTCGTTGGCCAGAATCAGCACCATTGTGGGGGTCAAAGGTAGGGGAGAGCATTATTAGAGTTAATAATGTCCATTGTTCTCTTTTATATCATTACTGCCCACTGGCCTTTTGTAAGGAAATAGGTGTGTACATCATCTAGCACTAGAAGAATGACTGGCCAAATGCTTTCCCACCCTTCACTTCAGGTCCCAACTAAAAGGTGACTTCATAGGTCTAATATTCAATGGAGTCCTTGCAACAGTGGTCATTCCAGAACCCATTTTGGGTGCCACAAGTAACAACAGACCAGCTCATATTTGGGTGAGGCTCAAGGTAGTGGGGAGAAGAAGGACCCAAACACAATAGTGAGGTTCTTTACTTCAGAGAAGAAAAGTAGTATACAGCTATTTAAGTGCGGTAGGTTGCTAAGGCTGCCTTTACAAAGTACCACCAAATAGGTGGCTGAAACGGTAGAAATGTATGGTCTCACAGTTCTGGAGGCCGGAAGCCGCTGATCAAGGTGTGGGCCAGGCTGGTTCCTTCAGAGGGTTGTGCAGGAGAATACATTCCAGGTCTTTTACTAGCTTCTGGTGGTTTGCTAGACGTCTTTAGTGCTTCTTGGCTTGTATGTGTACCATCATGATTCCTGCCTTCATGTTCAGATGGTGTTCTCCCTGTGTCTTTCTGTCTGTCTCTTCGCAAGGCATACCGTTATAAGGATACCAATCATATTGGATTAGAGGCCCACCTTTTCTCAGCATGACCTCATCTTATTTAATTATGCCCTCCATGACCCTCCAAATATGGTCACATTCAGAAGTACTAGAGGTCAAGACTAACACATATGAATTTTAGAGGTGACACATTTAACCCATGACATGAAAGACTTTGTCTTTTAATCTCTCCTCTGATAAATAATAGCTGTAAACATTGCATACAGGTTTCATGCTTAGAGAACAGATAGGTCAATGGTCGTACCGAGGAGACTATTAGAAGTAAGTCAGGGCACAAACCGGCAGTAGACTTTGATACCTAGAGCAGCAGAGGTCCTTGACTGCTGCTTGCCGTGCAACCTGGCCGCACTATCACTGACAGCCTAGATCTTGGGACTCCCCAGACTGAATGAGTCAGACCTGGGCAAATTGCATGATGAGGATGAGAATAGATTCAGGATTTATGACTGCTCCCTGTGGGTAGGAGATGGCTTCATGAGGAGATGGGTAACATTGATCTAGGGAGACCATGCTCCATCCAGGCTCTTTGGGATGAGGATGCACAGGAGAAGACCCCTGTTATGTGCAGGTGCCTTCAGCCTTGGATGCTGTCCCTGCAGGACTTTGGCAAAGTCCTAGTTAGCAAACACTTAGACCTTTTTCAAGGTGTAAATACCTTCAAATATTTTCCTAACCGCTCAAAGAAGACATTTATATAATAAGAGTCTTGATCAGATGGAAGAAATTGGAAGGTCAAGGAAAGAGAAATGTGTCTCTAATAGAAAAGGGACATTATGTGGTTAAGAAGACTATTGAGTGAATGGTGAGAAATGCAGCCAGCAGTGACCCAATAGGAACAGTGCAGAAAACCATCTGATCCCCTGCGCTCAAGACAGAAGACACTCTAACACTGAAACATAGATCTGCTTGTGTGCAGGCCTTAATGGAAGTTGACATCTGAGTTAAAATTACAAAGTGAGTCTGGCTTGGAATACATGTCCACCATTTCCTAGGACCTTCATTTGTAAAAAGAGGGGTAGGTGACTCTCTAAATAGGAGCTATTTGTTTTTTCACTCATAAAAGAAAATAAGACTTCTGAAAATTTCAGATTCCTCACATTTAAAATTAAAAAAGATTTCAGGGGAAAAAGAGTCACTGAATGTTAGAAAAAATATTTTTGAGAAAGTATTAATCAAATGAGCACCATACTCATTAAAAAATAACAACAGGGCCAGCTCTGTGATCTGGTGGTTAAGGTAGCTGGATCCTATATGGCCAAACAGATGGTTTGAGTCCCAGACCTGGCAGCTTGTAAAAACACACTAGGCGTGTGTGCCCAAAATTGTGACAGAGTGGAGAAATAGAGAAGGGATTTCAGCATGACCATGGTCTGCTGGGTGATTCTTTATCCTTCTCCCTCTCTCTCTGGCAAATGCATGTGCTGTATGGCACAATTTTTTTTAAATAATAAATTAAAAAATTAAAAACAACAGCAAAATTTTTAAAATATAGTGAAAATCATTTCTGACATTTTAGTCTTTTTCTTTTTCTTTTCTTTTAATTGCCAGAGAGACAGAAAGCAACCCCAATGTGGTAAGGTCACACCTCAATTCTTTTTTCTCCATTTCTCCATTCTGTCAGGATTTGCGGTATTCATGTACGTGTATCAGTGTGTTTTTCTTTTCTTTTTTTATGGAGAGGTTTTTGCTATAGCGTACGTGCACTCGCCAGAAAGACAGAGAGAGAAGGAAGGAAAGAAATCAACCCCCAGGGGTGATGGCCATGCCATAATCCCTTCTCTGTTCTCCTCTTGGGATCTTGGGCATGCACACACATGTGCCCGGAGTGAGTTTAAGCCATGGGATCCAGGACTCAAACCGCAGTCGACTATGTGGGAGTCCAGCAACATAGCCATTACGCCAACTACTGGTCCCAATCAGTGTGTATTTCAAGCTTCTGTGGCAGAGATGTGAACCATGGTCAGGCATGTGGAGTCTAGCTCCCTTAACCACTGCACTAGGATGCCAGCCCAAGTTTTATTTTCAAAGAAGGATGTTCAGTTCATACTTGTTTGTTCAAAGCAGGGGAGTTAGCTTGACAAACACGTACCGGCAGTTGTGGGTAATAAACAAAGGGTAATACAAGATATATTTTAGATTGAACATCTAGGAAGTATTGTCAATAAAAGTATTGTCAATAAAAGCATTGCTGTTTGAACAGTTCTCCCAATATATTTCCTCAAAGCAGACACTACATTTCCAAATCAAATTTTACACAATTACAAAACTTAATTCTTAGAGAAGTTCTTAGGAAACTTCTAGTGTCCTTTTGCAAATGAAGAAAAAGACTCAAGAAAAGAGAAGGGCATGGCCAACATTCTGCCTCTAATTGGTGGTCGCCTTTTGTTTCTCTCCATAGAGGTTTCTAAATGTTAAATGATAATAAAAACACTATCAAGAAAAAATAAATGCAGATTGTTGGTCCCCACCCCAGGGTTTCTGGTTCAGTAAGTGTGGCGTGAGATCAGAGGATTTGCATTCCAGGCAATGCTGACACTGCTGGTCTAGAGATGACAAGTGAGAAGCCAAAGAAAATGCAAATTCAAAAAACCAAAAGCTTTAGATTGTTCATTGTATTGAATAAGCTCCTTGGGTTATAAGGACAGAAACTGGTAAGTTAACTGAATTAACCAAAGACTATTGTGAAGATATAGACTATTGTATAAATTTAAGGTATTGTGATGCCATAGGTAGACATTTTCAAAAGGCAGAGAGTGAACACAAAGCAAGACCACAGTGGAAAAACAGGTACTGCCACTCAGCCAGGCAGGTGGCATGGGAGTTAAAGGCACTGGACTCCCATATGGCTGACTATGGTTCAAGTCCTGGACCTGGTGGTTTGCTTCTCACTCTCCCCACCCCCGTCTTTCTCTGATCAAATTGGAAAATAATATCATAGTAAATAAAGTTAAATAAAATAATTCTTTTTTAAAAAAGAAAAATGATTTGTCCTAATGAAATGTAAACTTTGGTTATACAATGGAACTATTTAGGGGCTTAAACAAATGCACAGGAAAAAAGAAATCTGAAGCTTGGGTCCCATTGCCAGTGATTCTAAATAATTGATTTGCTGGACATAGTATTTTTGTAAGCTTGTTAGGTGGTTTTAATGTGCTCGCTTTTTTTTTTTTTTTTTTTTTTTTTTAATAAACCACAGATTCGTTTATTTTTAACACCCATCATGCCATGAATTCATAGGGAATAGGTTCCAGTAGCTCAGGCTCCTTTCCATTGGTTCTCACAAAGTGTGCTTCTCTGGGTGGAGCAGGCTGGCGCTTTAGTTGAACCCAGGTACCTTTCTCTCTGGCTTCTTTCTTTTTCTGGTCATTTTCCTTCACACGTTTTAGGAAGCTATCTCTGCTCTTAGAATGTTTAATATGCTCAATATGCACATTCATTCTCTTGGCAAGAATCTTGCCCTTAACTTGTTTGTTCACAACAATGCCAACAGCATGCTGGGTAACATTGTAGACTCTTCCAGTTTTGCCATGGTAACATTTGTGGGGCATTCCTTTTTGAACAGTACCCATTCCCTTAATGTCTACAATATCACCTTTCTTGTAGACTCGCATATATGTCGCCAAAGGAACCACTCCATGTTTTCTAAAAGGCCTAGAGAACATATATCGGTGCCTCTCCTCTTTCCCTTTCTGTTCATCACTTTGGTTAATTACTGGAAGATGGTGGTTCCAGCCAAAAGGCAATGTGCTCACCTTTAAGGTGACTTCTCATCTCTCTGTCTCTGCTTCTTCCAGCCTTTGAGACAACTAGTCAACTTCTTTATCTGCCACTTGGTAGGGCAGGCAAGGGGCTCCTTGCTTAAGTCCTCTGCTGCTGGCATTCTTTTGGTATAATTTTTCGTTTTGACATTGTAAAGTTTATTTCTATTTTAACTTGCTCATGGATGCAATACTTTGAGGGGGTAAGCTGATTTCTTTCTAGCACAGTTTAACTTTCTTTCCACCCCTTCCCAAAATACTTCACACCTTCCATTATGATATACAATTTAAGTTAAAATTGCAAAAACAGCCCTCAAAAATACAAGTTTATTGAATAAAGCTGTAAAAAAGAATCAACAGACAAAAAAATGCATCCACCTAAATTAAAAAGTCCACATATTTACAAAGTTCAGTAACTGTTAACTTTTCACAATGCAGAGGTTAATGCACAGGAAAATGGCAAGGGTAGCATTTGGGTGTCTTAAAATGCTGAAAGCAATGAAGAGACACATAAACAGTAAATCATAGTCTTCACAAGCCTTTGCAGTCCTTACATAGTCACACGTTCTAGTTCTAAATCCTCCTTTTAGGCACAAGCAAGTTGCCACATTATTTGTAATGGTTCCTGATACCATTAATGGGTTGAACTACCGTAGCCAGCTTGTATAACCCTTCATTCATAGAACCATCCATCCCATCAGGAAAGTAGGCAACATGCTTCAGAGAAGAAGAGGACTTTGAAAGTCCACATCTTTTTCTTATTTTTCCAGCACAGTATAACTTTCTTTCCACCCCTTCCCAAAATACTTCGTACCTTCCATCATGATGCACCATTTAACTTAAAATTACAAAAAACAGCCCTCAAAATGCTGTTTGAATAAATTTTTAAAAAATTTTTAACTTAACTTTATTTATTTTAATGTGACCAGAGAAGGACAGAGTGAGAATAAGAGAGAGAGAGACAAAGTGAGAAAGCAGACCACCAGTCCAGGACTCGAACTGCAGGCAGCCATGAGGGAATCCAGTGCCCCTAACCACCACACCACCTGCTGGTCCCATGATCTTTTTTTTTTTTTAAGGTTTTTTTGCCATAGGATCTTTGGAACTCCCAAAAATTGACAAGAAAAAGACAGGGAGAGGAAAAGTAAGAAATCATCCCTCAGGAGGATGGCCAGGCTGTAATCCCTTCTCCTCCTGGAATTTTAGGCATGCACACACATGTGCCTAGCATGATTTTCAATCTGCCAGGCCCAGGACTCAAACTACAGTCAGCTTAACTACCATGCCATTTGCTGGTTCTAAAAACCCAGATTTTAATCATAAAAATGTGAATGGAGGGAAAAAAGTAAACAAGCAGTGTCTGTGTAACACAGTGCAGTATTTTGTGAAGAATTTTTTTTTTTTGAGAGATTTTTCACTGTAGGGCGCGTGCGCTCGCCAGACAGACAGAGACAGAAAGCGAGAAATCACCCCCCAGGGGGGATGGTCACGCCGCAATCCCTTCTCCTCCATTCTCCTCTCGGGATCTTGGGCACGCACGCACACATGCCCGGCGTGAGTTTTAAGCCACCGGGTCCGGGACACGAACTGCAGTCGACTATGTGGGAGTCCAGCGACATAACCATTGCGTTAACTGCTGGTTCCCAAGAATTTTTTTTTTTTGAGAAGTTTTTGCTATAGGGCATGTGCACTCACTGGAAAGACAAAGAGACAGAGACAGAAAGTGAGAAATCACCCACCAGGGGGATGGCCACACCACAACCCCTTCTCCTCCATTCTCCTCTTGGGATCTTGAGCATACACACATACATGCCTGGCATGAGTTTAAGCTGCTGGGTCTGGGACTTGAACTGTGGTTAACTACATGGGAGTCCAGCAACATAACCATTCCACTATCTGCTGGTCCCCTTATTTTTAAGGCCATGGCAGTCTACAAAATGAAAATTGGTATTCATTAAAAGAATTTACTGTTGATGAGTGTTCAACACATTTGGAAATGCATGCCTATGAAGTGCTGCTGAAGAAAAGAAACGAAACCACACACAATGTGAAGCAGGTGTACCAGAGAGTAGTATCTGCCACAGTGGTCTGTGTGACTAACAGTTTACAGTGAACCAGTAATAATATGTCCCTTTATGTATGTGGATATTAATGAGCCACAACACAAGCTCATTTTAAGTTTGTATGCATCTCTATCATGGATGCAAATAATAAACAGCACTGGGTCCTCCCTTCTCTGCGATGAATTATTAAACAATCTGTGGATGTTGCACATGATGAAAGCAGATAGTCACAATAATCCATATGTCTAATGGCACCGGACTAAAGAGTGCCAAACCTTACATCAATGGGAGAGAAAAATCAGAATTTTTGTTTGTTTATAAGTATCTTTTATGCTGAAAGTCAACTGTGTGACTGAATCTAAAAGTAAAGAGTTAGAGAGCCATGCAGCAGCACTGATTCAATGACTGAAGACAGAAAGAACAGATAAGTATTTGAACAAAGTCTGACATCCTTTATAGGTTTTATTACATAGGCTGGAATGCTCCAAATGCATGAGAGCTTTTGAGGAAATTTTTAATTCCTAACCTCTTAAAAAGTGTGTTGAACCAGGAAAATGAAACAAAAGAGAGAAATAATGATCTGGACAGATAAAAACAACGTGTTCCTCCTGTATCCCAAATTACTCTCTGGTAATTAAATTCTCAGGAGGTTGGGACCAGCAGATGGCGTAATGGGTACATTGCTGGACTCCCACGTAGATGACCATGGTTCAAGTCCTGGACCCGGAGTCTTAAAACTCACACTGGCCACGTGTGTATACATGCCCAAAATCCCAAGAGGAGAATGGAGGAGAAGGGATTGTAGCATGGCCATCACCCCTAGGGGGGATTTCTCACTTTCTTTCTCTGTCTCTTTAGCTAGTGCATGCACCCTATAGCAAAAATCTCTCTCAAAAATAAATAAATAAATAAATTCTCAGGGGTCTACAGGTGGTATGGTGGTTAAGGAACTGGACTGATTGACCACAGTTGGAGTCCTGGACCCAGCAGCTTGAAGGTCACACCAGGCATGTGTACATGCATATCTAAAAATCCAGGAGGAGAATGGGGGAAAAGGGATTGCGGTGTGGCCATTCCCCTTAAGGGGTGACTGCTCACATTCCTCTCACTGTTTCACTCTGTCTCTATGGCAAGTACACATGGCTTATGGCAAAAATCTAAAAAAAAAAAAAAAAAAAAAAAAAAAAGTGTAAGAAAGAAAATTCTCAGAAAGCAGAATGTTTTTAACATTCAAAAGGTAGACTCTCACCAGTGCAAAGAGCCAACATTGATCAGCTGCCTCCATGTACTCTTCGAAGACCATTTTTAATTCCTAAGGTATAAGTAAATGAGATCTGGAAGGAAAAATTCATTTTGTATGCTGTAATGATATGCAGTAAATGAATGTAAAATAAATAAAGAAAAGAAAAAAACTTCAATAAAGAATATTGTGGGGAAAAAAAAACAAATTTTATACTATAAAAAAACAAAGTTAGGAGATAGATGGGATGAACTTTAAGTAGAGTATACGCCCAAGATAGGGTCATCCCCGTTTTAACTTGCCCTGCTGCTTAGCTTCTCCTGAAAATTATTTATACTTTGCTAGCTTTCACAAGAAAATACTTACAGAGCAGCCCAAGATAAGTAAAAGAATAACTATGAAAAGTATGGCCTTTTCAAGGTCCCATTGCACTTCTAAACTCAGAGATTTATGGACCAGAACATCTAGAGGAAGAACAAAGTAATATCTCCCCATTGCATGGACCTTACAGAATCTCATGACACATGGAACTGTTCTTAAACGGAAAAGAAGACCGGTATGACCTGACAAGTAACCCCATCATAAGGAAAACATGGACAAGGTCCTCCTAAACAGAATATAAACTCTACACTCAGTTCCTTACGGGCAACTCTTTTCTGGGACACCTCTCTCCTTGGGGAGATTTCCTCTCCTTCAATAAACTTTGCTTTGCTGTTTTCCCATGTGTCCGCATCTCTAATTCTTCGTGAATGTGAGATGAGAACCTAATCATCTTGTGGTCCTGAATCCAGCGCTGGTGTTGGGCCTGATCACCCTGATATCCAGTGTCAAAAATGCATTTCACATGCATCTGTGAGATAAAACAAATAGCATGTTTATATCCCACGTGAGGCAGACTTAATGGTTTTCTAAATACTGTGTGTGGCACTAGAAACTTCATGCTGTATCAAGTCAGTATCATTTTTTTTTTTGTAGAGTTTTTGCTATAGGATGTGTGCACTCACCAGAGAGACAGAGAGAGACAGAGAGACAGAAAGGGAGAAATAACCTCCCAGGGCAGATGGCCACTTTGCAATCCCTTCTCCTCCATTCTCCTCTTGGGATCTTGGGCATGCACACACATGCGCCCGGCGTGAGTTTAAGCCACCAGGTCCGGGACTCAAACTGCAGTCGACTACGTGGGAGTCCAGCGACAGTCATTACGCCAACTGCTGGTCCCAAGTCAGTATCACTTTTTAGCTACTGCACTCTATAATGAAATTTTATAGACAGACATTTAGTGGAAATGGATATAAAAATCTGGCCCCAAAAGACCAAAATGGAAATATTCAATGTTCTTGATTTAAGATGGTCAAAAGAATGTTGAAAGAAAGAACGAAAGAAAAAGAAGAAAGAAAGAAAGAAGCCCTACAGACTCTTGTAGTGTGTGTAGGAAGCCTTTTTGTGTGTGCTGACTCTATCATGATGACTCTAGCTGATTCTTTATGAAGGATTAGGGACACACATCTTCAGCAGCAAACATGAGAAACAAACTCTGAAAAAGGCAATTTCTTGGGTTTAGGAAGGACTGCATTCTGGGAAGCACTTGAGAGGAATAGACAGTAATTCTAGGATCATAGCCAAGAAGGACTAGAAGACTTCAGGAGGTGCTTCAGCTCTTCTAGATTTCAAATGTTGAATAAGCCACCAGAGTGTGATATCTATATTATCCTTTTCTTTGCAAGAAATTGAATGGCAGCAAATTACTCTATCTTGAATTAGCAGACATCTGTTTTTTCAACTACTGTTTCTCATCTAAGGTATAAGGAAGAACTCGCTTGTTTTCAAGTACTAATGAGAAAGGAGTTAGGGCCAGTGCTAGGACAGGGACAGAGAAAGGAGAGCCACTATCGTCCATGCTAGACAGCCATGTTATGTTATCTTTTTCTTTTCCCTTCTTCCATAGAGTCACTGTGTTTCTTTGACCTATGGGCATGCAGATCTTCCTTCTAAAGAAGTTATGACTCCTTGCTATGACACAATAAGACAAAAACCAGAGACCAATTGTCACAGCCTAGAGCACACAGATAATGTTAAAAGGTTTTGTTTGTTTGTTTGGTTTTAATCACAGAGACCTGAAGAGGGCAGGACTCTTGGATGGCCGGGAGTGAATTCCAAGATAGGAGCCTCTAACCTTCAAAGTTAACTGAGATAATGGCTTTTTCCATATTAATAGCCTCTGAGCCTTGGTGAACAGAGATAAGAGCTTTTTCCAAATTAACAGCCTCTGAACTAAGGACTTGCCAAATCAGTCACTATTGGGTAAGGTCTCATAATTACGTAATTACCAGACCGCTTTAAAGTAGAGCATAACCTGTAGGACATGTGACCCCTATCAAGAGGGAAACACCTGCTCGGATCTCTCCCAGCTGGAATATAAACCTGAGACCCAAACCACCTGGCTGAATTCCATTTCTGAGACCCCTCCTGGCTGGGAGCTCAGTTCTTTTCTTCCTTCCTCTCTCTCTTAGTGAACTCTGCTTTGCTATTGCTCTGTGTCTGTGTCTCTAAATCTCCGTAAGCATGAGATAAGAACCTGGTCAGCTTGCGACCCCAAGACAGGCACCAGAGTTGAGCCTGATCATTCCAACTTCCTGTCACTAGCACTCCAATTCCTTCTAACTGTGGTTTATCTAGATTATGTAATTCATTTTGAGAAGCTTTTATCATTTCACAATTTGCAATCTGCCACTGTCTATCATGTAAACAATAACACTGATTCCTCTGCAATACCACTCCCACATGCTATGGAATTGGGGTTGTCCTCCTATGTCCCAGATCTTTGATGTTACCTTTACTTACTTTCTCATGTTGAAGTGAAGCAGGTGCAACTCCATCTTGAAGGAGTGACTCCATCTTGGAGGAGCACCTCCATTATAAACTGTAAAATTCCTATGACTGAGGGGCCAGCAGGTAGCGTGGTGGTTAAGGTGCTGGACATTCCCACATAGCTGACCATGGTTCGAGTCCCAGACCTGGTGGCTTGCTTTCTCACCCCCCTCTTCTCTGTCTCTCTCTAGTCAAATTAAAATAAATTAATGAAAAATAATTCTTTAAAAAAATAAATTCCTATGACTGAAAACTTGCCTTCTCCTCTGTGCCTAAGAGTAAACAGAATAATTAAATTCCTGTTGTCTTTAAACCCCATTCCTCCTAACTGCCCTAAAATGTTCCTTAGTGATGTAATCATGAGCCAGACCCCTTGCCCTGAGCCATGAAGACTATTAAGATTCTATTGTGTTTAGGCAGAGACAGAACATACCCTGAAGAATGATTAACCTGCTTTTCTTGCTTGTGCTTTTGCTTTTACCTTGATAAAATCCTAACCCCTACCCATTTCCCCCCTTCAAGCCCACTGCACCTTGCCCTCCTGAATCATCACATCATCCCGGACAGGATTGTACATTTTTTGCTTTTATAAGTGCTCCTCACCTTATACTCAGGACTGCAGAGTTTTGAGAGACATGAGTCCCCCCACCCCACCCCGTATGCCACTGGCTTAATCAATAAATGCCAATAAATTTGGCTATGTCTGGATGTCCTCTTATTTCTCGCTGAATAGACTATAACATTTGGAGGCCCCAGATGTCCAGTGAGATGCCTCATCCTGTCTGGTACATGGGTGAGACATCCGAAGGAGAGCAGCCTCACTTGATCTGGCTGCCAACCACCTGGAGACTGCTCTAGGGCAGGCGCCACCTGGGATTTCCCGGGGCCCCAGAGCTCTTCTCAATATTGTCGACAGCTGATAAGAGACACTGACTGCTCCTCCAAAAGGTTGTGGAGTTTTACTGTAAGACCTCCAGAGGCATTTCTTTGTATGTTCCTGTCCTGTTTGCTTCTCTGGAAACAAATTGGTGAGTATGGAGTTGGCCACAAATCAGGGTGAGAGTCCTAGGCAGATCTTGATTTCCTGGGAGGCCCCCTGAAGTCTAACCTGGGTGGAGGGTCCATTAATCCCTCTGCAGGTGGCTAAGATTCAGGGCTGACTGGATATGGTTATAGAACCCCTACTTAGGTACCACCAGATGTACTTGGAATCGGGGGTGGGGGGTTGGGAGGGCTAAAGTTCTGACCCTTAGGTGGTTTGTGAAAAATCAGGGCTAGAGTCCCTTGACAGAGTTTGAATCCCTGAAAATTTTGAGATCTTGTATGGGTTTCTTCTGCTTTTACTGTCGTTTTACTTATCTTCTCCATACTCTCTTGGATTGGTGAGAGGATTTTGGTATGGGTTTCTTTTGCCATTTTAATTATTTCCTTTACACCCTCTTGAAAAACATTACTTGGTTCTGTCCCTCCTCCTCAGTTGAAGATATCAAGCAATGGATTATTGATTGAGGGGCTCTTCAAGAACTGATGACCCTACAATCACAGTACTAATGCTAAAGATTGCCTTGTGACCATAGGAGGTATGGGTAGAGGCAAGAGAGCCCCGGAGTGCCCCAGGGGACATCCTGACCAAAGAGCGTACTTGCCTTTTTAAAAATCCTAGAAGGCTAGAACAGCTCCTTTGAAGTCCCTTAGAATACATTCTCAGACATTTCAATGTGGCATTTGTGGAAAGTTGTGATTATGGCATCAAACTCTCTATCCAAAAACTGAGAGGGCCTTTTAAAAAAACATCACAATTAAAAGGGGTAAATATATCAAGAACATTTGTGTTATAAAACCTCTAATGGTATAGACAACAAAAAGTTAAAACCCACCTTCCTCAAGTGTATAATTAAAGATTTAAAAAGGGGGTTACTCTAAAGAGCATTAGTGCCAAAGCAACCCCAGAAAAATTGGCTCTTATAGTCCTGATGTGTGTGTACATCTATACATGTAATATGTCATGTTACGTACTACACATTATGTCTGTGTAAAAAAGCCTTAAAGAAGTCTATTCAATTTGGTTTATAAAAAGAGTGCCCATACAAATTGGTTTAAATGCTTTTCAAGTTCATATAACTTTAGTAAATGAACTGCCTTCAAATGTAATAATAAAAAGAAAGATTAATAAGTAAAAAGTCTTCACAATTTCCAAAATATATTTTGTCTAGGTTTTTATTAATCCTGCAACACCATGTTTATCTTAATATGATTGGTTTAATGAAACAACTAGTATTTATGTGTCGTGTGTTGTGTTTTACATAGTGGACATCTAACAGAAATAAATTCATGACTAGCCTTTTTCTGGCTTTAGTTTTAGTGCTAACAAAGAGGGAGCTGTTAAACATCAGAATTATTCTTTATATGCTAAATAAAAATGGAAAACATCAAATTAAATAATTCTAATTTTCTTGATATTATATTTGAGTTATATGTATAAATAAGTTATGTACTTGTATGTCTATGTATATATTGTGTTCTAAAATAATTTGATATTCCAAGAAATTTATGACAGTCGATTATGTTAAACTAGTATGTATAGCAAAATTTCTTTGTCAGTTATAAATTTTTTTAAGTTATTTTATGTAACTTTATTTATATTTGATCAGAGATGTACAGAGCGTGTGAGAGTGAGAGAGAGAGAGAGAAAGTGAGAAAGCAAGCTGCAAGGTCCAGGACTTGAACCAGAGCAGGCCATGTGGGAGTCCAGTGCCCTTAACCACCATACC